CTGCTTAGTCTTTCCCTTTAAAAACCCTGCTCACTCAGGGCTCAGGGTCCCACTTCTCTACTGCTGCATCAGTGAGACTTGGATCCCGAGTTTGATCGCTCTCATAATAAAGCTCTCTTGCAATTGCATCGAGTTGTCTCCTGGTGGTCTCTGAGGGTCCCGTGATCCTGGCATTACAGTTAGACTCACTGCTTTGTTAGTGGTTACACAGTGCCCTGTGGATTAAGTTCAGTCTCCTAATACTTTTGAGTGGTTTGACACTGGGCCATCTCTCGGTGTGTCATTCATTCTCTGGGCAGCCACGTCCCCGGGGAAACTCTGCTAATGCTGACTAGATCTGCTGGAGGTCATTTGAAATTGCAGCCCTTGATGAACTGTGTCCACTCTCCACAGGGTGACTGATGATGCAGCTGGCATCTGTCTTACTTTTCTATCGCTGCAAAGACACAATGACCAAGGCAACTTACAAGAATTTACTGGGGGCTTATAGTTCCAGAGGGTTGGTTAGGGTCCAGTCCATGACAGTCATGGCAGGGAGCATAGCAGCAGTCAGGCAGGCATGGTGCTGGAACAGAGAGATTAGAGCCACAAGCAAGAGAGAGACAGACAAAGAGAGAATGACATGGGCTTTTTAAACCTCAAAGCTCTACAGCAACCACCCCTGCCACAGTGACAGCCCTATCCTCTGACAATGCCACACCCCCTAAGCCTTCCTAAACAGTTCCACCAACTGGGGACCAAGCATGCGCCTCTGGGGGGTCATTCTCATCCAAACCACCGCAGTATCAATTCCTGGGGTAGGCTCAGATATAGACAAATAATCCTATCCACAAAGCCTCCACATCAGCTCCCTCCTCTGTTCCAGAATAGGGTAAGAAAGGACAAGGAGATGCTCCACAGCTGCCCCGCCAAACCTTGAAGCTCTGGCTTCTCCAGCCAGTGAGCGTGAGTTTATTGAGAGGGTCAGAGCTCTTGCCTGTCCAGTCACTCTGTTCCAGAGGAGAGGATCAAATGAGGGAACTGTAGGGAAACTGGGTGAACTTCCTTTTCTTAGAGCTGCTGGCCTTTCTTTACCTACTTGTTTCCTGAAAGGCCATAAAGACTTTTGAGTATGCATTCCTCTCTCTATGTACGTTAGGCTCAGGAGCCTCACCTCAGGATTCATTCTACATCCTAGGATACACTTTTTGTTTGTTGTTTGTTTGTCACTACATGGCTCAGTTTGACCTTCAACTCACTATGTAACCGAGGCTGACTTCAAACTCCTGATCTTCCTGCCTTCACCTCTCTAGTGCTGCAATTATAGGCATGCACCTGCCTGGGTATACATTTATTTTCTTGGTCTCAAAATAATTATGTGAGTGACAGGCATTGCTCTGAGCTCCTGTCCTCTTGGAGCTCCTGTGTCATTAAGTGAGGCAGGCATTAAGCAGACTAACAAGTACACAAAGCACAAAGTTGTGGGGAATGTGTGGGGATCTGCAGCCCTTCTAACATGTGTCTACAATCCCCAGCGGCCCCTATAGTCTCTACAAGCTGAGTAGTAAGGACCGCAGCGCCAGGCTCTGCTAACATGCCTTACATAGTAGTCGCTTACTCCTCAGGCCAACCGTCTCAATCAGGTTCGCCTGTGGATGGAGGCCTACTCTGCCCAGAGAACTCAGTCCAAGCTAGTGCATGTAATGCCTGTGTTCTGAGACGAACAGCAAACCTTCCTTCAGTCCATTGAATTTCAAGTGTTTCGAGTCCATGAGACCAGGACAGAAGGAACTAGACTCCTCTCTATCAAGTAAAATGTAGGCTAGACACTAGGAAGTACTGGTTAACAGTGCTGAAGATATGAAAGAAAGAATCTCATTTCTGGGAATTTTCTTCTCCCCTAAATGTTCTGTGTTGTGTAAAGCACACTTTAAGATGGAAGAAGGTTTCCTAAAGAGAAAAGAAATCACCTCGTGGACTGTATTCCTTATCTCTATCTCTGTGGGCCATACGGAAATTGAAGAAAGGAAAAGGAAATGAATCTGCCATCAGCAGCATAAATGCAAAACAGAGTGACCGTCAGAGGCCTACTTCCCTCTCTAGGCAAAGGCCTCCAGGGTCACCTCCGGGCAGGGATCTCTCCAGCTCCTCAACCAGCTGTGGTGCCAGGGTTTGGCAGAGTAAGCGGGTTACCGTTTCCCTCTTCTAGAATTCTCAGGGTGACAAGGGGCAGATGACAGGCCAGGAGGGATTACCTGCGATGTCAGATTAAAGCAGAAGCCACTCTTGTACAGGTAGCAAACAAGCCCGTCCCCCCCACCCCCCCCCCCCCCCCCCCCCCCCAGTCAGTAAACACTAGCCAGAGCTAACTGAATGGGTGACACGGCTGCAGGGCTCAGGACTCTCATTGATTTACCCAACTGCATTGGTGGTTGTCTCCAAGCAGACGTTCAAGAGGCGCAGGGAGCCAGTATCTTAGGTACCTTGTGATGGCCCAGTGCTGTCCCTAACGGTTTTCTTTTGGTTTAATAAAATACATTCCACTTGCAAAATACTTTCAAGTTTGCAAAGCAGTTTCCTTTCAGACCCTCAGTTTCAACCTCAATTTTCATCCTCAGCCTACGTAGAGGTAGGATGGATGCTACTGGTTGTGAATGTCTCTGCGTTTACACTTAGATTATGCTTAGACTCACAGGGTAGGCAGTGGGGCCTGGTGCCGATGTCTTCTGATCTCTTAAGCCCCGTGCACTTTCCCTTGGTTTCCTTAGGGAGCTTTCTGCTTCCGTTCTTGTCTCTCCTCCCACCTAAGCATGGAAGCCCTAAATGGCCTCAAATTCCCTGACTTAGTAATACATCAGAGAAGTCCGCCCAGTGACCCTGCGTGTCGGGTGTCCCACGGAGAGTCCGTTCTGTGTTCCTGGTGAAAAGTCTACCCCCTCGGTTCGTTCTGCGGCTCTGGGACCCAGAACTTGCACAATGCCCCATAAGCCTCTTAGAGGAGGCGGGTATTAGGCAGGATTGGATATCCGTCCCCTGGCATGCCCTTCATACTCCACCCTTGAATTAGGATTCCCAGGGGAGCTGGCAGGAGAATGGGGTGTTTTCTATGGTCTCGCTTTGGACCCAGTCTTCGAGACCCTGGATTCTGACAAGTTTCCAGAACTTGGAAGACTCAGATGTCGAGGTGTGAAGGTAAATGATGTGCTTGTGCAAGAGGGTTTCGGCTCAGCATTTCTCCACACGCTCAGGGGAAGGGGAGAGACCGTCCAGGCTTGTAGGAGGTACTCGCGGGGATTCCCACAAGTGCTGCGCTGACCGCGAGACCAGGGTGCTGGGGGGGGGGGCGGGGGGGGGGGGGGGGGTGAGACTACCGGGAAAGGTCAGGGTAACCAAGGGCAGGGAGGAGCTCCCTTACTCCTACCCCCTTGATGGTTCTGCCCTTGTATTCTAGGCTGGCACGTTGGCGCGTCCACTTACTGTGGGTTACAGAGAGCCTGGGAGGCTCACTGCAGGCTCATGTGTGGGTCCCTCGGAGGAGGCGAGGCGGAGGCTTCCTCAGTGTCTTTGTGCCTCGCAGGGGGAGTCGTACTGGGGAGCGCTTATGTATTCCTGGGCCCACTTCTGAGATATTTCGATTCTACACAAAACCAGGCATGTTTTTAGTAATGTTGCGCAGAATCTCCGGACAGAGAGGTTCAGCGGATATTTTCCGCGTTTGGGTCTCAAGGCCCTTTATAAAGTAAGGCTTCTTTGAGAGTCTTTCCTCCTGCGTCACCGTCCAGAAGTCACCCCAGCGGCTACTTTTCACAGTCTCTATGTGTGTGTTCAGTCTTTCAGAATTCCTGTAACCTCGATGCCATTACTATCTACATGGGAAACACTCTTACAGTTAAATCGAATTTAAATATTCAGCGGGTAGAGTGCTCGCCTCGCATAAACAAAGCTCTGGGTTCAAGCGTCACACAAAGTCGGACATGGTGGTACACGCTTATAATCCATCCCAGCACTTGGGAGAAGAAAAGTTCAAGGCCATCCTTGCCTACATACTGTGTTCAAAGCCAGTGTGGCCTCGCGAAATCCTGTCTCAAAAGTTCCATTTAAATTATTGCAGCATGCGCACGATAAAGCAATCTAGTCAAATGTACAGTGAAAATGAAGTGCTCCCCCCCCCCCGCGGTGCTCAGTTTCCCTTCCCCGAATGTCCTTCCAGAGTTCCGCAGTGGAGGCCAAACTCCTTAGGCTGACACCGCTGAGAGTCCCAGACCTTGGTTCCATGTCTCATTTTCCTTCCTCCAGCCCACACCATTCTGTAAGAAGCCCCATGACTTTTAAGCTCGGTTCTCTCTGGATGAGACAGTGTAAGCATTTTAAAAGAATTCAAAACAAACCCCAACTCCCAACAGCAAAAACTAACCCACCTGAGCACACAGAGCTGTACTAATCTTAACATTTGTGGCGATGCCATTCCCTGCTTTCTCTTGTTATCTACACCTTTAAATCATGTCCTCCTACCTCCCTCTTGCCTTTGAGGAGCTGAGGTCTGTGGCCTGGGCCCCAGTTATGGATTTCTGAGTTCCCAACATCCTAGGCTTGGACCTGAGGGGTGCAGGGAGCTCTTTGTGGGGTCCCAGGAAAGGCATGGAGACTTCAAGCCCTCCATTCTCACTCCGAGACTTGGACCTCTGGGCTGTCCTCGGTGAGAATACCCTCTCCTGAGAGCAGGCATTGCACCCCGGAGTGGTGGGCAGTGGTTAGCTCCTGCAGAACAAGGTCTCCCTCCACAAGGCTCCCTGAAAGATGCTTTGTGTCCCTGGGACCTCCATCACCACACTTCTCTGGGTAAGAGGGTTCTAGATCCCAGAAGAAGGATAATAACTTCTTTTCTCCTCCAGATTTGTGGATACCCCTGGCTGGGCTTCATGGAGAAATCTTTCCTGATTACCAGCATGAATCCCAGAGCAGCCTCTGCTTCTCCCCGGACAGAATGAAAGGCCAACTGTAACCAGACATAACTGGCCATCATGGGAAAACTGATCAGGATGGGGACACAGGAGAGGCGGTTACTCAGACCAAGGAGGCTTTATTGGAGTCGCCTCCTTTTCCTCTTGGGAATGTTGATCATCGGTTCCACTTATCAGCACCTGAGGAGACCCCAGAGCCCCCCCTCAGTGTGGACAAAAGTCTCTTCCCAGCAGCCTATTAAACTGTTCAGCAGGGACCTCCCCAGTGATGAGATGACAGTGGTGGGCAATGACCCTCTAGAGGCTAGCTCTGAAGTGGAGGGTGAAGGGATGGCACCCCGAGACACAGTGATCAGGGCTGAAGCAATGCCTAGTTTAACAATGGAGGACACCTCCAGCCCACCCAGAACAACCAAGATCACTCCAATATCACTAAAGAATAACAATAGTCCTATAACTGCTGGCACAGAAAGAAAAAGGAAAACCGTTCCACTCACATACAGCAGAGCGCCAAATCACTTCATCTCAACTTCAGGCAGACAGAGGGTAAAAAGCTATACCCCAACACCCAGGGGAGAAAGGAAGAACTCCAGCCCAACTCAAGCCAGGGAAAAAGGAGGAATGGATACCCCATCCCCAGCAGATGCACCGTCAGCCATCACCCCTGCAGCAACAGAGAAAGACAGCGAAGCCATGGCAACCTCGAGGATACTGGAGACCAGATCTCCTGAGAGAACAGTAGAAGAAAGCACTGCAGCTTCTCTCTTGGGCAGCATCCCAGAGACCATGGAAGGTTCTACTGCTGTCCGGAGAATTAGCAATCCCCTGTCCAGAACCAGCCCACCAGCCATTAGAGCTGCCTCAGCCACCAACAGGGAGCTGGCAGAGAGACCTTCCACAGCGCACAGCACCCCAGTAACTCCCGAGGTCAAGGCAATCCTGACCACACAGGTCCACCGCTGTGTGGTTGTGGAGCCAGCTGTACCCAGGTCCCCATCTGTGACAACCATCCTGTTCCCAGATGCGCCCAGTTCCAGTCCCTCAGCATTGCCGCCTGGCTGGCCAAACACCCACCCTAAGGCAGAGTACCCCCCAGACCTGTTCAGTGTGGAGGATCGGCGACAGGGCTGGGTGGTCCTCCACATCTTCGGCATGATGTACGTGTTTGTGGCCTTGGCCATCGTGTGTGACGAGTACTTTGTCCCAGCCCTGGGAGTCATCACAGACAAGCTGCAGATCTCCGAGGATGTGGCAGGTGCCACATTCATGGCCGCTGGAGGCTCAGCCCCTGAGCTCTTCACCTCCCTCATTGGTGTCTTCATCTCCCACAGCAATGTGGGGATCGGGACCATCGTGGGCTCTGCTGTGTTCAACATCCTTTTCGTCATCGGCACCTGTGCCCTCTTCTCCCGGGAGATCCTCAATCTCACCTGGTGGCCCTTGTTCCGAGATGTCTCCTTCTACATCCTTGACTTGTCCATGCTCATCGTCTTCTTCCTGGATAGTCTCATTGACTGGTGGGAGAGCCTGCTACTGCTGCTGGCTTACGCTCTCTATGTGTTCACCATGAAGTGGAACAAGCAGATTGAGTGCTGGGTGAAAGAGCAGCTCAGCAGGAGGCCAGTAGCCAAAGTCATGGCTCTGGGGGACCTTGGCAAGGTAAGGCAGGCTGGCTCCAGCTCTCCCAGGCCTCTTGGGTGGGAAAGGACAGGGGGAAGCGAAGGACTAAAGAGCGGAAGGCCGAGGCTCCGCCTCCCGGGCTGTTTGTTTACAGAGTGCCGTGCTCTGTAATTAGAAAGTGTGTCTGCGGCTCTACCCCAACCACCCTAGACACTGGTCATGGTTATGATCCTACTTTTCAGAAAAAAAAAATTGAAGGTGGAAGAGAAGTTAAAACAGGCATCCAGGGTCACAGAACAAGCAGGCAGTGGAGTCAGGATTTGACCCCAGCTTGGCCAGATTGGGTGTCTTGAAATGCCATTTGAGTCAGCTTTGGAGAAAGAAGAGATAATCTCTTCCACGCACAGGGAGTCAGAGTTTAGGCGGCGCCGTTGTTTTCAAGTATGTTTGTTCACAGCCTGGACTTGAGAGGGGTCTGGGGAGGGAGGTCCTTCCCCCCCTTAGTATTGGAGATGCAGATGGCTCCACTCTCTAACTGAAAAGCCAGCCCTCAGGCAGAGCCCTCACGCTGTGTCTATGAGTCCTGGCACCAGATCACCAATCCTAGGGCTCCCCCTCCCGCCCACTTTCCTGCTTAAAATTCATTGGCTGATTCAGTGACTTGAGGGATGACATCATATTGGGTATGTGACCTCTGAAAGCAAATCCCAGATAGGGACCCCTCTTTTTCCTGTCCCTAGAAGGTGAGTTGGGGTAAAGGTTGGCTCAGAGCTTTTACTGGGTGCAGAATTTTGCGTGCAAAGAGCATAGGACTTAGCTTCTTAATCCTGAGCAGTTTTGATGAGTGGGCAGGATGGCTACCACAGGATGGCTACAGGAGGCAAGAGCTTGTGTTACTTCCTTTAGAAGGTTTGGAATAACAGCAATTAGAACCGAGAGCCGCGCCCCCTGAGTTTTAATCTGACACTGCTTTTCAGTTACCAGTGTGACCTGAACAGGTGATAGAGTCCAGTTAGTCACAAAAAGGTCCTGTCTAGCTCTGACTTTTATGATAATGTCTGAGTTCCAATGAGTCCAGTTCCGGCAAAACTCAGCACAGTGGTTATTGTCTGACCTGATGGACCATTCACTATTTACACAGGGCACAGAAGGGGAAAAGTCCTGCCCCGGGGTCACAGTGCCGGCTGGGTCAGAAGTGGAGTGATGCCGCTGTCAGGCTGTTGCTCTAGGAAGCCACAGGCTTCAGAGAGGGTCGCTCCTCGCTGCTCAATTCAAGCTGAGGAAGCAGGAGCCTCTGAGGAGAGGCCTCATTATGGAGGCTTGGCTCCTCCTCTGAGAAAATCCCCGTGGGTATCAGGGCAGCAGCGTTCAAAAGCCCTTCGACTTGCTGCCTGTGATAATTCTGCTTCCGTTGAAACTGAACACACTCTGAAATTTTTGCTGCCCCTGAGCAAGGCCACCAAAGCAAAGCTCGCTAAAGCAAGTGAGGCAAAAACCATAATTTTAAGAGAGAATGTGTCCTATGTAAGAGGCTGCCCAAGGCCAATAGTGGCAGCTCTTTACCAACCAGTAAGCAGGGGCTGCTTGCAACTATGTTGAAACTAATTCAGAGCTGGGTGGTTGGCGCAGACCTGTAATCCCAGCACTCGGGGAGGCAGAGGCAGGCGGATGGATCATTGTAAGTTCAAGACCAGCCTGGTTTACAAAGCAAGTCCAGGACAGCCAAGGCTACACAGAGAAACCTTGTCTCAAAAAAACCAAAACAAAGAAAAACAAACAAAAAAACTAATTCAGTAGGATTTTTAATTAAAGGTAAGTTTTGAATAGTAACCATACCTGAAGGTTAAAGTTGGAATGCATTGGAACTGGCCATGAAGACTATCCGTGTAAGGATAAGAGTAGATGACTTCGAGATATCGCTGTTTTAAAATGATTTAAAGTATGTGTGGACTTAGAGTTCCGTTCTGGGGTGACTTTCAGCTACAGAGAAAGTGAACCACCATCCTCTGTGTCCTGGTTTAACTGGCCGAGAGCTGTGATCTGATCGGAGGGACTAATTGTACTGTATCTCACTAGCAGTGAGAGGGCAAGCCGCTGCCGAACCCACCAAGCAGTTCTGCGCAATCTCAGTCTTTGGTCTAGCAAACGGTGTTGGCTTTCAGTTCTTGTGGTGCACTGTGAGCCGGAGCTTGCCCTGCAGCGCTTTCGCCTAACCACGAATCTGCCCTCCTCCTTTCTCTCCCCCTCCCGCCCTCTCACTGGATTGTGCGGCTCTTCTGAATCAATGGGTCCCTTTAGTTAAACAGCGATAGAAACTGGGCCTCCTCCATCAGGTTTGGTTCTGAAAGTGAGGAAATCAGAGAGAAATGGGGCAAGGCACGCCGGGAGCCACGAGTTGAGCTGGTGTGCTGAAGCCCTGAGAAGTCGGAGCCAGGTGTCTTCCTTCTTCCTCTCAGTACCGGCTTCATCGTTGTCACTGAGGCGGGGAAGCTCTGTGTGTCCAGCACTCCAGTTTAGCGAGAGGAAGGAGTCAGGAAGGGAACCCATGCTTATGAGGGCTCCATTCCATACAAAGCAACAATCTCTCTCTCTGCCCCTCCTTCTTCCACACTGCCCTCCCCCTTCCGCTCCTCCTTCTGTTTTTTCTTTTTTGAGACAGGGTTTCTCTGTGTATCCCTGGCTGTCTGGAACTCACTCTGTGGACCAGACTGGCCTTGAACTCAGAGATCCGCCAGCTTTTGTCTCCCAAGCGCTGGAATCGAAGGCTGCGCCACTACCACCCAGCAACAATTTTTTATTAAACTCTCTAAAACTGGATTGTTATTCCTATCTTACCTATGAAGAGACAGGGAGTCAGAGTAGTTACTTCACCTGGCCAAAGTCACACAGCTCGTCAGTGAGAGTGAATCGGTATATTTGAGTTTTGGCTTAGGTGCCCTGCCAATCATCCATGAGCAAGCCAAGGCTTGCTATAAAGCATTTGTTAGTAAGTGCCTGGATGGGAAGCAGTGTGAGGAATACTGTTAGCTTTAAGGAGGAGGCTCCTGTGTGGGAGCCGCAAATCATGTCGCTGTGCACTGAAGCCCTCAGTTCTGTGAAAGGGGCGAGACAGCTCCGCCACTGACAGACTTTTTTTCTGCTAAGGCCAGGCAGTAAAAACCTTCTGCTTTGCAGGCTAAACTCATTCATAGCTCAGTGTCCCTGTATCTAGAAGGCAAATAGCTGCACAGTGATTTAGTGGGAGTGGCCACGTGGTTCCCCCTTTCCCCCCAAAGGCTTTCATCCAGCAGGTGCAGCCAGGTTCCAAGCTGCCTGATCTTTTCATTTGATGTTTCTTTCTGTCCTGAACATCTAGTCTCAGAATGAAGGAGTTTCTTGGGAGCTGTGATTCTAATAAAAATACACTGAAGACAATTTCCTGAAAAAAATGATTTAGCATTGATCATATATGCACACATATATAACTTCAGTTTTAAAATCTTTACATTTGTTTATTGTGTGTGTTACATGCTTTCATATGCCACAGCACAAGTGTGGAGATCAGAGGAGTTGTCTCCATCATGTGTGTCCTAGGGATTAAATCTCAGGTCATGAGACTTTATTCTCTACGAGCAGCCCGTGGATAGTATTTTAGAGTGTCTCTTTTGACAATAGCTGAAAGTTTTCAAAGCTAAAAACGCTTAAGACAACACTCTCAGAGCCACACCTACTGGCATAAGGCATCTTTTTGATCCCAGTGAGGCAATGGCAAATGCCTACACAGCTCTTAACAGTTGAACTCAGCTCTCTTTGAAACTTTATAGTGTGTATTGAAGCCCTTCACGTATTGTTTCTGGCCCCAGATGACAAATCTCTGGCCTTCTTTGGCCATGTATAGTCACAGAGAGCCAACATTCTGCATCCAAGGATGAGGGACCCTTCCTCACATGTGGAGGGAGGAGCAGCCCCATGCAGTGCCGATAGCACAAAGAGGTGTAAGGATTTTACAGCATCCCCATCTCTACACTCTGCACCAAGGAATTCCCCAGGATGCAGGGCTCTGGGGAAAGCCTGACATTTGGTCCTGAATATGCTGTGGCCTGTTCTCTCCCCAGCAGGAATTTTCTTATTCAACCAGCAACATCCCCACACAGGCAAAGAAGGCATGTCTGTACACACTGGTTCTCCCATTTCTTGTCAGGGCTGATGTTTATCTTGAAGGGTCATATCAGCTGGCCTGTAGAGACGGGGAGGTTAAGGATGGGAAACAGCCATCTTGGCCCTTCCTACCTCTGTGGGTCCCATCCATGTTAGGTTCAGAGAAGCCATTGTGCTTGGCTGGGCTGAGGGATGTCCTTCAACTGTTTAACTGGTCCTTAGCGTCTTTCTAATTGTCAGAAACAGCTCTCTCTCCTCTCTCTCTCTCTCTCTCTCTCTCTCTCTCTCTCATTTCTATAGCTCACCCAGGCCTCCAACAACAATCCCAGCAGAATTCTCAGTCTTTGAATCATTTTTTCCCCTGGCCAGGGCTGCAGCTCAGTGGGAGAGTGCTTTCTGGACACATGTCTCTCCTCCTATAACTGGACGAAGCTTTTAGAGTTCCCCAACATGCCATTGTCAGCAGATGGTACAAGAAACAAATATTAATCACACAGCACAAACATCCACACAAGCCTAGTCCACTGCTTGTTGTTTCCATGGATATGTGTGCCTAGAGCTGAGGCATTTCAGGCGTACATACACCTTAGGCAGCGACATTTTCTCCTTTGGAACACAATGGAATTAAATATCAAATCATCTTTCACAGTGCTCAACAAAGAATAGCATGAATTCTTGATGCTTTGCCACCTGAACTAATTAGAGAATGAACTCAGCAAGCAACTGTTTAATGAGGAGGCCTGGCTCCATGGACAGTAAATTTGAATAAGAGAATTTCAGAGTATGAGGAGCGCTGTGAGGCGATGCGGTGCGGTGGGGCCTTGCTGAGGGAGTGCAGGGGAGGCTTCTTGGGAGAGAAGTCTAAAGAGTGAGCTGCAGAGTAGAACTGGGCAAGCATTCCTGGAGGAAGAAGAGAACTTGCAAAGGTTCAGGGCTGGAAGGACCTGGCGTGAGCAGAGAGCGAATAGTGGTACCAGCCACAGAGAAAGAGGAGGCCGGAGGGAAAAAGCTGTTCAGGAAAGTCAGAGCTCTGCTCTGGACGGGTGAGTCCAGGCACTTCGGTGTCTGCCCAAGAGGTGGTGGCACATGTGAGCCTGGAAATGGGTATCAGGTCTGGGTATGAAGAATGAATTTGTGAGTCACTAACAAACGTTTGAGCATATAGTCAAGGGAGGATCAAAGCTCTGTGAATAGGAGAGAGTGAGAAAGCCTTATACTGTCAGGTCTACCATCCAGTGATAAATGAAACACACTTCGGCTTTCCCGGAGCCCAGCCTGACGGAGGAACTGACACTCATTAAGAAGGACACTATAATACAACTCCTATAAATTAGGCATTCCTCGGTGGGGAAGATGGAGACAGCAGGCGATTAGTCATAGCATCACGTAGAAATGTGTAAGCAAGTGCTGACAGACCATGCAGAGGGCCACGGGAGACCTGCTAGAGCAGGAGGCAGGAGGCTGCCCTGAAGGACTGGGGTCTTGTCATTCCATGCTGAGGCCAGATCAGAGGAGCAGGAACTGTCTGTGAGGAACGAGACTGCAGCTGTGCTGTGCAGTGTGACCACAGGCCCCAGTATTGTGAGCCCTTAAAATGATGTGGAAGAGGACGGGTAAGACACACAACAAGCACTCAGGGTTCAAAAGGGCATGCAAACAAGTTCAGCCTCTTTACATTCATTGCTTCTTGAAATGGAACTTCCAGAGGACTGGGATGTAGCTCAGCGGTAGATCACGTGTCTGACATGTCTGATCAGTTTGGTCCCTGGCATAGTAACAACAGCAAAGTCTGAAAGTGGGGAAGCACTGGCTCTAAGTATGTTACTAAGCCAGGTAGTCGTGGCGCACACCTTTAATCCCAGCACTCAGGAGGCAGAGGCAGGTGGATCTCTGAGGCCAGCCTGGTCTACAGAGTGAGTTCCAGGACAGCCAGGCCTACACAAAGAAGCCCTGCCTGGAAAAACAAAACAAAACAAAACAACCCTTTCCAAAGTATGTTATTAAAATGTGTCATAGGCTGGGTGTGGTGGCACTTCCCCTTTATCCCAGCGTTTGGGAGGCAGAGGCAGGCAGATCTTTGTGACTTCCAGACCAGTCAGTGCTGCCTGCTGAGACCCTGTCTCAGATTACAAAACGGAACAAAAGCAAACAAAAGAGAAGTCAGTCGTTTGCAGCGCTGCCCTGCGGTGAACAGAGACTCTTTCCAGGGGGCAGCGGGGCGTCTGGAACACAGAGGCGGACAAGCCGTGATGTGCTTGGAAGCTCACCATAGCTGAGGGAATGGACAGGAAACCTGAGAGGGAAAGAGTAAGACTCAAGAGGCTTTTTTGGTCTGAAGGCAGGAGAGTGGAGGCCAAGCTGTGCTACCTGAGACCAGGCCTGAGAGAATATGCTCACAGCCATTTGTAACGCTAGTTCCAGGCGTCCAACACCCTTTTTTTGACTTTCTTGAGCATAAGGTATGCACATGCTACTGACATACATGTAGGCAAAGCATTCATTCATATTAAACAAATCTTTTTTAAAAAATGGTTGACGTGACAGTCTGTTATCTGTTTGATCCCTGAAACCTACAAAAAGCAGATAGAGAATCAACTCCACAAACCTGTCCTCTGATTCACACACACACACTCACCCACTCACCCACCCACACATACACACAAGAAAGACTCCACACAAATTAATAATAAACAAAACAGTAATTTGAAAAAGAAAAAAGAAAATGGCTGAGAGCTGTGGATGCGTGTAGCTCAGCATTCAAGGAGAGCCAGTGAGTGCTAGGTGGCAAGGCCATATACCCCAGAGACTTCCCATCGACTCATGGAGAATTATCTTCACTTGAATAAATCTGAGCAGCAGGAAATCACTAGGGGTGTGCACTGTGGGGACACAGATCAGTCTCTTGGCTCCCTGGGGCCAGAGCAAATCATCTCCAAAAGTAGCCAAAGTAGAGAGAGTTGGACACGATGAATGGCGAGGTGGGTGGGACCATGGCAGCTCGTGCTGTGTAGAGCCTCCTCTTCCTCAGTAAACTCCCAGGTGTGTCACAAAAACGTTAGAGGCGCAAATGAAAGTGTACCGCCTCTCCTTCGCGCTCAGTTTGGTTGTTTGAGCTCGGTTTCACTCACTTTCATACCCATTCTGTAACAGTGAGTATCCAGACACTCAAGCCTTCCCCACCTGTCAAAGTCCTCCTGCTCTGCACCGCAGCAGGAAGCTTCCCGGCCTACCTCCCGGAGGTAGTCTGCACCTGCGCCTCTCTCACTGTGACCGTGTTCTGTTTTTCCTCACGTCTGTGCCACTGCCTCCATTCCTCTCTGAATGCAGACTCTACGTCCTGAATATCCCTTCTCCTCTGGCCATCAACACAGTCCCTCATAGCAGCACATGCTCAGTGCACACTGGAGTGACTGGATGGGGGGCTGGCCTGTGCTCGGGTGGTAGTTTCTATATTTTCAGAGCTGAAAACAAGGGAGCAGAGGGGATGAATGTAGAGAGGCACTGAGGCAACTGTTAGAGACCTTCGTACCCAAGGATAGTGCCAGAGATCTGTGCCCCGCCTTACCTTTGTTGAGAGCCACACATCAGGGGACCAGAGCTTCAACATCACCAGGTCACCGTACAGAAAAATCAAACAGACAGACAAACATAGAATTGAGTGGGTGGTGGTTTGCTTCTGCAAAGCACTCCATAAAGGAGGCTGAAGTAGGAGGATCACCACAAATTCAAGGCCAGCCTGCATTGTATAGTTTTAGGCTAGCCTGGGCTCCGTAACGCACTCATCTCTAAAAATAAATAGAAGATTGGACTCTAGCCGAGTAGACAATTGGTATATCACTCAAATGGCATTTCAAGGCTATGAATGCAAAGAAAGTGAGTCTGATAGGCTTCAAGTTTCTTCAGACTTGGTCTCACTCCTCAGCAGGCTATCCCAAAGCTTCCCTAGGACACAAGCACTTATCCGACCCCAAGCGAGAGTTTAGAATCCCACGACGTGCTCTTGCTGTCCCACTTTGAAGGGGAGAGCTACCTTAGTGGGCACAAGTGAGGGTGCAGCTAGAGGGTCAGGAGGGAGCTTTCCACAAGAGTCCACTCCTGATAGGGGCAAAGGGTTAGCCGAGAGGCATGCATAGCACACCTTTGGCAGAGGGAAAGGGCATGAGCAGAGAAAAGAAATAGGAATAGAGGAAGTGAACCCATCATTTGCATCTTTGCCATGTCTGTTCACACACAAAGAAGCTAGGGGAAATGCTAGGCCAGAAAGGAACGGGCATCTCTAAGAGATGCGCAGAGGAAGGTGGTGCTTAAATAGGACCTGAAGCATGAGGAGCCAAAGCAGGACAAGCAGGAGAGGAGCCTGGGACAGGCTTTCCAGGCAGGTGACACATCTGAGCCAAAAGGTGGTGGGTTTGTTGAGACATTCTCTAAGGACAGACTAGCTTCTGAGGTGTTTCTTGGTTGTACCAGCAGCGTCCCCAGAGAGGGCCAGAGGCAAGCTCTCTCCATGACATCTTGTACTTCATCTCTTGATTTCTGTTCCCTTCAGCAGCCCAGTGATGGCACCACTGAGGAGAATGAGCAACAGGATAACAAGAAGCTGAAGGTGGGTAGTGTGTGAAGCTTATCCAGTGGGGACAAGGCAGGGTCCCCGTTTGAGCAGGGGAGTCTTGTAGAGTCTTGGGGACACTTCAGGGTCTCAGCATATGCCTGAACACCAGGTTGCTGTGGTCCTGATGCCGTGGAACCTGGTCAACTCAGGAAGGCCAGGAAGCTCCTGGGAGCTACCAGGGTGATCCAGGCAGGCTCAGGCTGTGTGGTGAGGGCCTCAGCTACAGACGGTGATAGTATGGGAACTGAACCCTTAACATCACCGCTCACTCTGTTCCAAGACTCCTGTATAACTTCAGGTTCTTTATCTGTAAGTCTGAACTAGAGAAACTCAAGTCCTGCTTTCCAGTCCCAACTTTTGGTGGATAAAAGTTCCATTACTGATGGCTTTAGCATATCCAGAGCTAAGGAACTAGGGGAAAGCTCTTGAGGAGGCAGGGCCTAAGGTTTCTGAAAGACTGGGCTAAGGCACCATGAGGAAGGCGATATAGTGAACTTTGAAAGGAGGCAGGGGTGGGTGAGATGGGGATGGGGAGGGGGTGGAGCTGAAACCGCCTATATCCAAAGAAAAATTTCCCAGGCCCTTGTAGTGGCCACAACCACTAGATGGCAGAAGAATTCAGCTGGAACGGGATAGAGAGGGAGAACGGGGTAATCTTACAGTATTTCTATGTGTCGCTAGGATTAAGTGTACCACATCTGTGTGAGTACAGGCATGTGTACTATGGTGCCTTTGAAGGTCTCTGAGCACTAGGGCATAAAGTCCAAGTGGGCTCGAAATCGGTAGACCTGGGTTGCTAGTTTGACTCTCTCCCTGCTTGCCCTTGACCACCACCTCCCTTTGAGCTTCCTTCTTTTCTGTAGGTGGGGCTCCTAGTGTCGCTTACCTCCGGGCTGTGTGTATTGCAAAGAGCTGTGCATGGCGCAGCAGCCTGCCTGTGCAAAGGAGGGTGTGGTTTTAGAAAGGTTGCTTGCTGGGAGGTGCAAACTTTCCCACAGCATGGTACCACCGATCCAGGGTACCTGCTCCCTGTGGGAGCTTCGGGACTCATGTAGGGTGCAGCAGGAGTTGGTCCCCGAGGAATCAAAGGGAGGATGACTGAGTTGGAGATGAAGGAAGCAGGGGCTCAGGATGCCCTTTCTGGTCTCTGTGGGGAGGAGGCAGGTAGGCGGGGAGGTGCTCCTGCAGCACCTCCCCTGAGCTGGGCAGGGCCCCACTGAGGCCTGCGTGGCTCTCCCCTTGCTCAGCTCCCGTCTGTGCTGACCCGAGGGAGCAGCTCGGCCTCGCTGCACAACAGCATCATCCGCAGCACCGTCTACCACCTCATGCTCCACAGCCTGGACCCCATGGGGGAAGGTAAGCAAGGCCTCCTCATACCCGCTGGTCTGCTCGAGTGCACTTCCCCTCCTGCTGCTGGAGAGAAGCTGGGGCCTGCAAATGCTGGTGACAATGGTCTGGAAGGGGAGGACAGTTTTCAGAGAGTGGGTAGTCAAAGCTAGACAGTCTGGAAGACGGGGAAGACGTAAGACCTCAGCTCACCAAGAGAGGGCCAAGTGGGACGTGGTGGCTCACCGTTTCCCTGCCTCAGGGTCCCTGTCTGTAAAATGAAGGGCTCTAGCCACAGCCAGGACACAAATGTGATGGCCTATTTGGATCTGTGTTAGAACAGATCCAGTGTCCCACAGTTTGACCAGCCGGGATGCTTAGGGGGACACCTTCCCCGCAGACCTCTGGCCAGCATCTCCCTTTGCTTTGTGCTCTGCCTCCTTCCCACTTCAGCCAGGAGTCCTAAGGGACACCTTAGGCATGTTACAGCCGCTTCTGGGGAGCAGGGCATCGGGTGGATGCAGGGTCTAAGGTGCTGAAGTTAGACTGGACAATGGTGGCCGTGGAGTCCCATACCCTACCACATCTTCCCTCAGAGCGCTACCGCACATGCATCTCATACCCTACTGACCACCTCTCAGGAACTTTCCGCTCTCCTTGGGAGCCTCATTTTCTGACTCTGCTGCAGACCTGAGCCCAAGTAGGAGGCCCACCAGGAAAAAGCTAGTTTTGGGCAAAGCCAAGGCATGCAGTTAGATAGGAGAGCTTGAATATGGCACATAAGAACGAGTCCCAGGAAGACCACTGTCTGGCTTTCTGGTTAAGGGACACACTCTAAGATCTCAGGATTTCATAAGGTCCGGACCTACCCCTTAGGTATGTGTTATGGGGTAGGGTGTTGTGTGTTTAAAAGTGTATTGCACTGGGAAAGTAGAATCAAAGACTCTTAAGACCTTCCTGGGAAACGCAGTGTCAGACAAGGCAGTGAGACCCTCCTTAGAAATCCTTCAAGGTGAGCTTTGGTAACCTGGGAGTAGCAGCCCCAAATGAACAATCCCTCTGTGGAATAAGCAGACTTGGGCAGCCTCAGGTGCTGAAGACTGGAGTGGACCTGGCCTGGCTCTCTAGGTCATGCCTAGCTACTCCCAGCAGAACCACTGACTCTAGCCAAGTCTTGAGAACAAAGAACTTCTCCTGAATAGACTGTGCGGCTCACAGAGCCAGCCAGCCCTGTGAGTATCAGCTGCCAGCTGGCCTGCTTGTCCTAACAGGATTATGTGATGTTCAGGCCAGGCCGAGGTCAGAGGAGATTGACACTAAGGAGATGATCCAGCCGTGTGCTTGAGGGAACAGTGCCAGGAGAGCTGGCGACACTTGTCCCAGAGAGGACCTGCTGTGTGGACTGTGGGTGCAGTGAGCCAGGGGTCACCCTTGAGTATCTGCAGGTGTGTCCTGGGATGCAGGACTCTTCAGAGCTGGAGTCTGATCATTTGCCAGCGCCTCCACCCGGGACGGCTAGGTCCTCCCAGGCCTTTGTTCCCAAACCGCTCCAGATGTCTGTTTCCTTGGCAGCTTCCAGACCGCCATCCAGATGTTTCCTCTTTCGATGGTGGAACTTCCCAGATCCAGTTCTCTCCACAATAGACGTCCCCTGAACTCTTACCTCCCCAGTGGGGAGTTTTCCTCCCTTGGGCCCCAGGCTTCTCCTCTGCTCTCAGTCAGATGTGTGGGACGGAGCAGCAAGGGAGGAGCTATCCTTCTGTGATCTGGGAAGTGAGAGGCGAAGGCGAGTGATGAAGGATGTGCGTCCCTTCAGCCAGCAGTCAGCAGATGTGCTGGGGCCGGAGTCCTCTGTTCAGCAGGATATTCTAGCTCTTGATTAGTGCCTAGAAGGCCCTGGGCATTCTGGATCTAGGTGGCAGAGCTATCCTGAGGTCCTGAACACTCTAGGAAGACCACCTGGGTGCCAGGACACCTTGAGAGACCAGAGAAGCCGTAGCAGTGACTCTTCAAAATGAACTACAGCCAAGGCAGCAGCAGCTGAGCAGCTCCGAGGGTTTAGGGCACAGGGAGCAAGCAGGAAAAGGCCAGGTCTGTTTTTCTCTTTCCTGCCCATCCTGGATCCAGGCAAGGGCTTCGTCCCACCTGGCATCCAAGATTGTATGGCCTTAGCATCCTTAGAGTCTGCCTGCACTCCCCTCTCCACTAGATGATCTTTAGGGTCTCCTCCAAGTCGGGAACGCTGGGCATTTCACCACAGAACTGTTTCTTCAGCGTGCCTGAAGCGCTGTAGCAGTCAAGCGCTCCTGCCTCATGCATTCTCAAGTTGGTGCTCTGGGCATACCATGGTGCTGCTGTGCAGAGGACACATACTAACACAGAGGCTTCCAAAGCAACCCAACGTCCATGGACAGAGCTAGCCTACATTTAGAAACCATGTGGCCATTTCTTCATGTGCCCATTTGCACCACTGTCCTGCCTGTCCTTCTCCTCCCTCACAGCTGACGAGGGGACCACCTGTACTCTTATTTCTCAGCCCATCCCCTTTTCCTCTCTACCTCAGCATTACTCATGTGAAGTCCTTTGCATATTCATCGTCATGTAGGGAGAAAGGTGCCCTCCCTATCGTTTTTCTTGCCTGGAAACCAGAGCATCTATTCTTGCCTGCCATGCTGAGGGCTTCATCAAATATGTCACAATAAAATGTGACTCCGCTTGGAATCTGACTGTCTGGGATCCAAAGGGTCTGACCAAAGCTTGATCCCTCTTTGCTTTCTGCAGGGAAGAAAGGGAAGGTTCAAGAGCAGCAGAGCCCTGGAGCAGCCTGCACAGGATGTGCTGTCCTGACTTCTAGTAATTTGTGGAAAATAAGCTGCACAGGACCTTACAGATCATCTAGTCCAAGAGTGACAGAACAGCCCCCTGCCATCATGTCCCCACTCCCTGGCCATCACAGACATGACTGACTGATCCTGGCAAGGACTCTCCTACCAAGTTTGGGTCAGACGCCTCAAATGAGCCATTGATTGAGGTCATAAAGGAAATGCATCCTGCAGCTGGTCTCAAATCCAGCCATATGTTTATCAGAGGGAAAATGGGGAAGCAACTTGCCCAAGGTCATATCCAGTTAATGTGCAGGGACTTAGCCAAGTTTACAAATGGAGTACCAGGAATAGGACTGGTGAGATCAGACCCAGACACCACAGGCCTAGGTCAGCCTTCCCTGTGCTGTCACCATTGGGCAGTTCAGGGCCCTGACCGAAAGGTAGGAGAGCAGCCTCTATGGCCCTAGATAAGATGTCTTCCTTTCTCCTTCGCAGCCCGCCCCTGCAAGGACAAGCAGGAGAGTTTGAATCAGGAAGCCAGAGCTCTCCCGCAGACCAGAGCCGAGAGCGGCCCGGACGGTGAGAGGATGGCCAGGCTGGCTGCTGGTGTCTCCTGCCACTGCCCTACCTCCGGTCAGGCCAGTGCAGAGCAGACATTGAGCACATGTCAGTGTCCCTCAGCCTTTTCCCTCAGGGTTCTCCTGTCACAGCCTCCCAGTAGCTTCCTCCTTGTTTTGTTCAGGTGAAGCAGGCAAGGGAAGGCCGGGGGGTTACTCTGCTCCCACATCTTATTTCCTAAACCTAATCCCAAGTGAGACTGTACTTCTTCCCATGACTTCTACACAAGGACGTTGTTGCTAGTGAGTGGTTTGAAATGAGCAGTCCTATTGAGCGAAGGTGACCTGGAGGCCAGGGTCAGAGGTCTAGCAGCTATGACCAAGGAAATTAAACAGCAATTTCCTCATGGGCTCTGCATACCGGTTTACCTGGCTCATACAAGCAACCCTTAAGAGAGTCATTCTTTCTATTCCATAGCCAAGGAAACCAAGGGTCAGAGAGATCAAATGAATTGTCCAAAGCCACACAGCCAAGAGGTAGTTAGCCTGTAGATAACCTGAACGTTTCAGATTTTCCAAGGCCCCCTTCTCTGCAGTTCTGATCCATGGCCTTTGAACTCAGTGGGAGTTTAAAGGACCAGCCGTCCCTGCTCCATTTGCCCAAGTAGTTCCCTGGCCACAATTCCAGGATGTGGCTGTGAATACGGGAGAATGCTTCCCAGATGTCCTCTCATCCCTTTTCAGGGGCCAGGGCAAGGAGAGTTCCCGGAAAGCCTCCTGAGTCCCTCACACCAAATGTCCCGTTAGTCTCTCCTGCCTGTCTCTGCAGCTGCTCTCAGAATCTGCTCTGCTCGCTCTTACACTCTCACCTAACCCATGTTTGTCCTTTAAGAGGAGGAGCCAGCTGAGCTCCCTGCGGTCACGGTCACACCAGCCCCTGCTCCAGACGTCAAGGGAGATGAGGAGGATCCAGGCTGCCAGGTAGGCGCTCAGCCTCTGCACAGCTGGAGGAATTTCAGAGGCCAAGGAAGGGCTTTCTGGCCAAGATACTTCCTACTTGAAGGCCTGAAATCCTGTTTATCCCTGTGGGGTGAACTGTGCCCCTTTTCTGAAATCATTTGAAGATGCACATACTCCCCAGACCCAGAAAACTCATGGCAACACCCTGTGTAATGTGTATATGTCAGGGGGGTGTGCGCAGCCACATGCTGTAAGAACATAAGGGATTGCCAGTGTGTCAGCAAAGCAGAGTCCAGACTGGCCAGGACCACCAGTGGCTTGAAGCACAGCAAGAGGGCTGCTGGGTAAGAGACCTTGGCATGACCTGAGGCCCTTCATTGCTGCAGCACCCTCCTCATCCGTAGCCTCCTAAGTCTCAGCACTGCTTTGCCTTGAAAACCTCTTCCACTATTTTCTGGCCATGCTTAACTTTGAATCCATGCTTCTTTCCTGTGGGTCTTGCTCCTATGGTTCCCTGTTGCTATCGTCCCCCTTTTCCATCCCTAGATAGCCTTATCTGGCCTGGTTTGGGCAGACAGCTCCCTTGTCTATGAGGCTTCCCTGATGCACCAGAATCCAAGTGCTCATGGACACCTGACATGGACTTCCACAACTGCCTCCTTGTTTGCTGAGCTTCCTCTAGTTCCCCTACCAGATAGTTCCTGAAGGCAGCACCCAAGTCTGAGCCACCTCGACCTCCACCTCAGAGGAAAACATCTTGCCTGGCACATGCTGCGTTCAATGCAGGGGGGGGACTGGCAGTAAACAAATGTTAAGCTTGCAAGTTACAGCCCTGCTTTCCTAGTCAGCACACTCTCTCACTCACAGTCCAGCAGCCTCGGGACTCTCTCTCTTCCTTCTGGTATTTGAGCACCAAGCAGGCTCATTATGGCCAGCTCATGTGAAAAGGAACAAGAGGGTGCAAAGCATCTAGAGCCTCAGCCCAGGAAATAAAGTTGAGCCTCACAAGGAGCTGGGCAGAGGCCCGAGAAGGCACCTGTGATTCCATTTGCTGCCCTTCCTTCTGCTTTCTCTGTGTGCAGATTCTATGACTGGCTTCAACCCTAAACCACCCGTCCAGAGGGACCAACCAGTCACTGGTTCCTAGTCTTAGAATCTGTTCAGTGTCAGTCACAGGTCAGGGATCCGGTGCATAACCAGGCAGCAGCGGTCCTGGGAAAGATGGGGTAACTTCACTGCAACACAGAAGGGAGATGCTGTTCACCAGGGCCTGCTCCTATAATGGGGCCAGAGGAGGGAGACAGGAATGAGTTCAGACAAATCTTCTCACTCTTCATTGCTAAATCTAAGCTCAGGCATGCCCAGATGGTAACACTTTGCTTCTTCATCCGATCCTCGACTCTGGTTGCATATAAGGAAAATATGGGAGAACTTTACAGAGTTGTTCCCTGCCTACTCATTGAGTCAGCATCCCCAGGGCAGGCCCTACAGCATCCCGGCTCAAGAAGATTCTGAGTAGGTCAGACATGGTAGAACATGCATTTAATACCAGCACTCTGAAGGCAAAGGCAGGCATATCTCTGTGAGTTCAAGGCCACTTTGATCTTCATACTGAGTTCATGCCTGCCAGGGTCGAACAGGAAGACTCAGTCTCAAAAACCTTAAAAAAAAAAAAAAAAGAAAGATGTTCCAGTTGATTTACATATACAGCAGAGTTGAGTAATCACTGAATGTCCTTTGGGGTTGTCATGACATCTGCAATATTTGACATGTTCACTCCTTAAGCACACAGGCCCTTGGCTCAAGGGAGTAGACCAGCACGTTATAGGCTCTTTCAGATCTGAGACCATTGGAATTAGTGGCTTTTAGTGTGGAGTTACACAAAGCTCTACGGATAAGTACAGTAGAACAATGAGCATGTGAATTACATATGATCACTTCCATTCCAGAGGTTGTAAGTCAGCTATAAATGTAGAGTGAGGAAATATGCATTTCTAACAAGATCCCCAAGAAAACAATTTTAGAAGCCAGCGGCTCCTTCAGACTGGAATGTTAGTTTGGTGGTCAAGAGATGGAGATTCGAACTATAGATATTCAAAATAACAATGCTTTTACATACAAACTGTGGACCATGGGCTGGTTTCTCTACTCTAGTTTCTCTACCAGTAAGATAGGTACAATTCTATATACTGATGGGTCCATGAAATACAGCAAATGCTATTATTCTGGAGTCATTTACTATTGTGCCTGATATGTAAGAATATTTGTCATCATCTTATACAATATAAGAGTCTGGGAGTTTAGTAGACTTACCAAGGTGTTTGCCTGACAAAGGATCAGGCCACATTAGGCAGTGTGGAAGGAGACCTAGTACCTATGACAAGGGAGGAGACGTGTTCCAGTCTATGTGTTCAGTGTTTGATGCCACACTCATGTTATGGCTAATGAGAACAAGTTCATCTAGCTGTGGCAGGCTCTATGCCATAGCATTCAGGATGTTGGAAAACCCATGGAGAGGCTTCAACTCATGGAGAGGCTTGTGTCATGGAAGAGTGCTTAGGCTCTTTCCTTATGTCTCCAAGGAGTAAACTGTATGTGGTGGTGGGGCTCTGATACAGACAGCCTTCAGATTTGCCAGTGCTGTTGAAGTGGTGATGCTGCTGTTGATGGTGAGTCCTCCAGCCTTGGAAGTAACCAAGTAAGAGCTGGACTTGCTGGGTCGGAACATTGTGATGGCAAGTTTGCTGCATCATTGCACCAGTTTTTTTCCTCTGAATATTTAACAGTCCATATGCTCTCTGATGACAACAATAAATAGGGAGCAATTGGGATGCAAACCAGGCAGAGCTGTCATCATACATTAATCTGTTGTCTTTGGATTGTAGGAAGATGTGGATGAGGCTGAACATACAGGAGAAAGGACAGGTGAAGAGGGTGAAACTCAACCAGGTGAAAGGGAAACTGAAACAGAAGGAAAAAAAGATGGAGAAGAAACTGAGGTAAAAAGAAAAGATGAGCAAGAGGAGGAAACCAAGAAAGAAAGGAAAGAAGATGAAAAAGAAGGGGAAACTGAGGCAGAAAAGAAAGATGAGCAAGAAGAGGAAACTGAGGCAGAAAGAAAAGAAGATGAACATGAGGGGAAAACTGAGGCAGAAGGAAATGATGAACATGAAGGGGAAACTGAGGCAGAAGGAAAAGAAGATGAACATAAAAGGGAAACTGAGGCAGAAGAAAAAGAAGATGATCATGAAGGGGAAACTGAGGCAGAAGGAAAAGATGATCATGAAGGGGAAGCCGAGGCAGAAGGAAGTGAAGATGAACATGAAGCGCAATGTGAAATCCAAGTGGATGACAGTGAGATGAAAGATGGTGAAGGTCAACCAGAAGCCAATGCTGAAAATGAATGTGAGGCCATCCAAGGTGAGAAAGGTGCAGATGGTGAAGGGGGAAGTGATGGAGGGGGCAGAGAAGAAGAAGAAGAAGAAGAAGAAGAAGAAGAAGAAGAAGAAGAAGAGGAAGAGGAGGAGGAAGAGGAAAATGAAGAACCTCTGTCCTTGGAATGGCCTGAGAGTAGGCAGAAGCAGGCTATTTACCTCTTCCTTCTGCCCATCGTGTTCCCACTGTGGCTGACAGTACCTGATGTGCGGAGGCAGGTGAGAGCCTAGCTGTGTCATAGGCTGCCCACCCTGAGAGGAGCTGCAGGGCCTTTAGGTACCGGGAAGGCTGGGAAACCTAGCTAGATGGACTGCGTCCATGAGGATGTGGGATGAGGCTGTAGCCCTTCAGGGGACCATGCACCATGCCTCTGCGTCAGGAGCTGGAGACCTCAGAGGTGCCTTGTGTCTGCCACCATAGTAGTGTGAACCAGCCCCTCTGATTCCAATCTCAGCATTCTGGTCTCAGTTTGGGAATGATGGCCTTGTAACCCATCCATAGCTCACAGAGGTAGCTGGAAAACCCAAGGTTGTAACTGCCATTTCTCTCTGTAGGGAAAAGTCCAATATGTTCCACATAAAGTCCAGAGGGGAACGGGGCAGGGGAAAAGTCAAACGCCAAACTCAAGTACTCAGCTGGGCCTGATTCTAGAGCAAGTCCATAGCTCTCTCCAGCCTGGTCCTGCTGAATGTTTGGAAGAAAAGCCAGGCTCCCTCACATCTCTTCTTACCGATTAGCTCCAGGGGCATCCAAGGGTGAGGGCCACAGCTTCATGCACACTGCTTCCGATCTTCCTCATTATCACTCATACATTAGACCTCATCACATTTTGGGGTTCCCTTAGACAGGGGCCAAAGGCCAGTAGCCTCTGCAACTCACTTCTCTTTCTTTCCAACTCCACCAGGAGTCCAGGAAGTTTTTTGTCATCACTTTCCTGGGATCTATCATCTGGATAGCCATGTTCTCATACCTCATGGTATGGTGGGCTCACCAGGTGAGTGCACAGCAGCCTTCCATTGGCAGGTCCTCCTGTTTGCCATTCAAGATGCATTTTCAGTATCCAGGGCTATCAAGAGCCAACATGCCTGTGGTTCCCATGCTGTTTGTAAAGACTTTCATTCCATTAAATGCTTTCCAAGTGTGGCTTTCCTGTATTAACTGGTATTCAGCTATATCCTGGCACAGGAGACCCTTTACATTTGGGTTCCGGTGGATCAGGTTGGCCTGACCCCCAAACTGGTGAAATCCTTCCCTCAGAGTTGACTTAGTTGGGTCTGTTTGCAGGCATTGTGCCAGTCTCCCCCTGCCTGAGCATTATAAGATTTTGTGTTCTGTCCAGAACAGAATTTAGCCCAGAGCTATAATTGTTAGCTTTTCTCCAGGCTAAGCAAATGGGCAGTAGTGCCCAAACTTCTATCTGTAGCCTGGCTTAGCTCCCAGCGCCCAGAATGTTGAGCGCTCGCATGTTGAGAAAAGAAATGTTGACAGAGCAGACTCTTGGAGGGGAAGTTCTTTGGGCATGAAGAGCTGTTACGGTTGGAAAGACACTGAAGGACGGATGTGGTATCATTGGACTTTTAGTGCCCTCAGTGAAGAGCTGTGTGGCTCCCTGCAGCAGGATGGGAGCCCGACTCTTTATTGCCCACTCCACCCCATTCCTCCCCTGCAGAGGGCGTGTTCAAAGCCTTAGTGCTTTGCTTGTGAAGCAGTGTGTCGCTGGTGCTGTGAACTCTCCCATTTCCCACCTGGGGTTGCCATGGTTGCTCACTACCTTTGCTCATTTACCAGGTTGGTGAAACCATTGGGATTTCTGAAGAGATTATGGGTTTGACAATCCTAGCAGCAGGGACTTCAATTCCTGACCTCATCACCAGTGTGATTGTTGCCCGAAAAGGCCTGGGAGACATGGCTGTGTCAAGCTCAGTGGGCAGCAACATATTTGATATCACAGTGGGGTGAGTGCTAATTGCGACTTCCTAAGGCATATTCAGAATAACTAGAAACTGCATTGGCTCAGCTGGCTGGTTTTCTTCTTCATTCATTATAGATGCGACAGAAGGGCATTTGTGTGATTAGTCCTTATGAGACAACCAAGTATCCTCCTCCCTTCCTTCATCACAGCCTGAAATCTGACTGGAACTTACATTCATTCCACTTCCCAATACAAGAAAACACGGCCCTTCAAGGAGGCAAAGAAGAGACTGGAAGGAACTATTTCACTCCTTTTCCTTTAGCCCTGCTGGCTCAGAGGCTTTAAACAGCCTTTTGGTATAAACAAGACCTATCCATCCCATCTTCGTGTTTGACACACAGAGCCCTGGCCCAGGGCTCCCAGGGCTGCCAAGAGCACCTGGACCGCTTTCATTTCCCTGCTCATGTTTGAGATTTGGTTATCTCACTCAGAATGTGTGTGTGGATGTTAGGGGGGGACAGTGGGTGGTGCAGTATCAGAAAACTTATCTTTATCACTAAAGAAAATTTATCTTGAGGTGGGTCTTAATCATAAAACCTGAGGAACTCATCACATGTTGACTAGAGTCATATATGTCACTAAGCATGCAGGGGGTGGGGGCTGGGGAGAATCAGGCCCAGAACCTTTTTGCATTGTTTTTTGAGGCAGGATCTTACTGGCCCAGGCTAGACTGAGACTGAGGATCCTTCTGCCTCAGTGTCCAGCACTATGCTAGTACCAGCTCAGAGCACTTGTTTGACATAACTCAGACCCTCAGCAATAAGCTTTGAGTCCTTTGCCAAGTACTTTTGTTCCCCTACCTGCATCTTCTCACCAGTGAACTGAGGTTAGTAGTTTCTGCTTAACTGCATCCAGTGTGTGTGAAAACAAGAGCGCTGAAAACCTGTCAACACCTAGCAAACACTTGGGCTATTACGACCATGGCCATGCTCACGCTGCTTTTCTTTTGCAGCTTGCCTGTCCCATGGCTCCTCTTCTCCCTCATCAACGCACTGCAGCCTGTTCCAGTCAGCAGCAATGGCCTGTTCTGTGCAATTGTCTTGCTGTTTCTCATGCTCCTGTTTGTAATCTCCTCCATTGCATCATGTAAATGGAGAATGAACAAGATCCTGGGCTTCACGATGTTCCTTCTTTACTTTGTGTTCTTGGTAATCAGTGTGATGTTAGAAGACCGAATCATATCCTGTCCTGTATCTGTCTGATTCCGTCACTGATGCTCAAGATGGACATAGACCAGAGACCATGCCAGAAGTTACTGTCCCTCTCGCTACACCAGTCAAAGAATAAACATGATCAGGATTGTGAACTGGATAGCCTAGACCCTCAGAAGCAACCGTCATCGTGACTGAGGCTTCTCTTTGCAAACACCTTCACTCCTGGTGGATTAAGAATGTTACCTTGGAAGGAGAGCTCCTACCTCTCAGGCAAGCAGCTGTCATGCAGTCAGCAAGAGGACTCCTGCAGCCAGAGGGCTCTCCAAATGAGACCCGGGGCTAAGGCTGGGACGGCAGAAATGAGACAAGCATACTTGCTCACAATTCCCTGGTCACTTCTCAAGAGCCACTGGTCCAGGGATACAGGTGTCAAAGGCTTGTTCTCCTGGCCACTGCCCCAAACTATCCACCTGGTGCAGCGGCGAAGCCTGCAGTCATTATAAGCTCAGTTAATGAGTTTAAGAAGCTAAGGCCTGGGGGGAGGGAGGAGATGAATTTATCCTTCTACCCTATAGTCCTGTAAAATGCATGCCAATGTTTTCTATGTTAAAAGACATCAGCTTTTATTGTGTATTTCTGAAACACGAAATTAAAACAGAAAGCAGCCTAAGAAATGATAGTGTATGATTTGCCTTGAACTATAGGCAGAGATTTGAGAAAGAAAACTATTCTTAGGGCTACTTAAAAATATGTACTCACTGGAAAATCCACATTTGTTTTGTCTCCATCAGTGGTTACTTCAATGGTTTAAATATTCTGACACAGCTTCCCTGCTGCCCCTTGAGCATTCTCGTACTCAGGAGTGACAACTGTCATTAGAGAGTCAAAGGGATGTATTTGCAGAGGGCCAAATCTGACTTACAAATTAAGAGATCTAGGGCTCAGTGCTATGCTTGCATGCCAACCTAGATGGGACTGTAAAGCAAGACTAGTTCTCTGTATAGTTTATCAGTGGATCTTAAGGCAGTTTACAAAGAAGTTTCAAAATGCTTAGGACAACAATGACACAGCGGGGAAAAAACACAGTACTACTTGCTATGCAGACCAGGCTGGCCTGCCTCCTGAGTGCTGGGTTAGAAACATGGCCACATATCTATTTTTAAGGACATAAAGGACACTTTAAAAAAAAAGAGTCATGGTTATGCATTTTCTATGAAATGTTGTGTGCGTGCATATTAGATGCCATTGGTTGCTGGGTTTTTTTTTGTTTTTTTTTTTTTACTAGCATCAAGCTGAGGAGAATGTTAGAAATTCTCATATCATTGGTTTCAGAGCACAAGGGAGCGTAAGTGTTTGCAGATTATGATGCAAATACAGCTTAAGCCATGAACACCAGGAGTGACGAGGTACCATGCAAGAGGACAGGACAGGTGGAAGTAAAAGCAACAGGTCGTTCTGGCACTGGAGGGTGAAGGTATTCAAGTATTTATTTTTTAAGATGGGCTGTACTTGAAAATCCCTATTTTTGGAAGTACCTTATTAAATTTCAATGAAAACTGTGGGTCCACTGATATTTTACTTTACAAACACGGATGGAGTCACCCTCATCTTTAGGTCATCTGGCCAGAAAACGCAAGAGAAGACTGATAAAAATGTGTCATGTTCAAATTCCATATTCGAGTGTCTGTGTGTATGTGTGCGTGCGCACGCGTTTGTGTAACTGTGGAGGTAGACATGGGTGTCTTACTCATTTTCTGCTTTTTCAGATGGGACCTCTCATTGAGCTGAAACTCACCAGTTAAGCTGGAGAGGCTATTCAGCCGCACCTAGAGCTCGTCTCTCTGCCTGCACCAGACCGGGATTCCAGGCACCTGTCTTTTATGCGGGTGCTGGGGGGGGGTCACACTCAGTCCCCATGTTTGCTGTACAGAATTCATATCTTCACTCTCCTCCTTCCTGGTGTTACTTTTCTGTGGGGCCTCCACAGGCCACGGCCGAACATGAAAGAACAATCCTGTGGGAAGAAGAGGCTAATGCTTGTTGTCAGTAGCTCCGGCTTGCCTCAAGGACATTACCCTGTGAACAACCAAAGGTCTAGAGCTCACGAGGCTGAGTGGTGGACAGTGAGATGCTCTGTAATTACAAAACGAACAGGAATGATCATCTTACATCCTTTCCTCAAGCAGGGGAATTTCGGGCATTTTCCTCTGCCCATAACAAGTTCCAATCACTTCATGTTGTGACAGGAAAAGACAAGTACAAAAAGAAAAGCTGGGCAGATGAGTGCTGATTCACTGGGGAGAAAAATACTGCAGGGACACAGAAAAAAATGTGCAACTTTAGTTAATATCTTACTTACACGTGTTTGTGTGTAAGTGTGTGCCACACTCATGTGGGTGCTTGCAAAAGTGGTTAAAGGGGGTCAGATCCTTAGCAGCCGGAGTTACAGGCAGTTGTGAGCCTCCTGCTATGAGGGCTGGAAACTGAGTTTGAGTCCTCTGGAAAAACAGCACATCCTCTTAACCACTGAGCCAGCTCTCCAGGCTCTAAAAATTGAAGGTTTTTTCTCCATTAATATGTGTGTATATATATCATTAAAAAATGTATATATGTTTTTATATCCTAGAGATTAAACCCAGGACCCCTGTTATGCTAGACCTTCCCAATGCTGTGACCCTTTAATACAGTTCCTCTTGTGTGGTGACGCCCAACTATACAATTATTTATGCTGCTATTTCATAGCTGTAATTTTGCTACTGTTATGAACTGTCATGTAAGTATCTATGTTTTCCCATGGTCTTAGGTGGCTCCTGTGAAAAGTTTGTTTGACCCCCAAAGGGGTCATGACCCACAGGTTGAGAAGCACTGAGCTAGGCAAAGGATGCACCACTGGGTTGTATTTCTTAGGATGCTGCATGTGTGTATCCTCGTGCGTGCGCACGTGTGTGTGTGTGTGTGCATGTGCGCGTGTGCTCACAACGTTCATGCACCTGTAGACGGCAGAGTGGGTGCTGGGCCTCCAGGAGCTAGAGTGGGTGCCACATGATGTGGACCCTGGGCTCTGCACGCAGGTCTCCCGGAGCAGCAGTAAGCACCCTCAACCGCGGAGCCACCTCCCAAGCCCCAGTTGGTGTAACTTCTGAAAGAACCACTTAAATTGGTATAAATGGGCTGTTTATAAGCCCATTTACAAAAGCGCCTTCTAAAAGGAGACAAGTGAGTGCGCCAACATGCCAACAGCGTGGAGATGATGCAGAATTACCTGCAGCAGGTTCCAGCTCAGTCTGTAACAGTCTGGGCTGTCACACTGGAGTGTGAACTGGCAAGGTGGTTGCAAGGTGTCCTTTCCCACCTGCAGCCGCAGTTCCTCGAGGTCCTAGCAATAGATATGGGCCGTATTTCTGAAAACATGGAGGACTTCCTGATTAAATGGGTTAAAATTTTATAAAATATATAGAAATGGACCTATTTGAAAATTTTGAAAATTGCTATATTTTAAAATAGCTACTATAGGGGCTGGAGAAATGACTCAGTGGTTAAGAGCACCGGTCACTCTTCTAGAGGACTGGGGTTCAATTCCCAGCACCCACATAGCAGTTCACATCTCTCTGTAGCTCCAGTTCCAGAAGGTCAGAGACATCCTTACAGTGCAAGCAAAACACCAAGGCACATGAAATAAAAATAAATTTAAAATAGCTGCTACATATATTTTGAACATTATATTGTATACCAATAGATCTGAAAATGATTTTATCTGTTTTTGTGTGTGCGTGTTTTCAAACAACACTGTCTGTATCAAGAGTTCTTGTTTACTTAACAATTGAGTTCTGAGGAGGCAGGAAATGGACTTTATACTGAAAGTACAGCTCGGTAGGTAAGTGGAAATAACTGGTTGCCCTGATCTTCAGTTACAGCCTGTAAGTGTTCTGGGGCTGGTCCCTATTAGGAAAGGGGGCTCAAAAGCAAGCCTGCCCATCCCTAGGGGATCAACAGAGCCTGGCAGGATGCCCATGCCCAAGTGAGTCTGTGCGGCCAAAGGATACTTCTGCTCTTCAGGTCCTTTACTGTGATCAGTGAGTCAAACCTGAAAATTTCCCTTCATAGACTACTCCACCAGTTGCTACATTACAAGGATATTGCTTGGAAAAAACTCTCTGTATATTAGAGGAAGCCATTTAAAGGACAGCAACTGTGGACAGTAGGACTTTGATCAGCAGCGTCTGACTCAAAATGGGAGCACATGTACAGATGTAAGACTCAACAATTCCTATACAGACAAGTGCTCTTCTTCTCCTGTAAACAGTTTAGCCAGCAAATGTGCTCTTTTGGGGGCTAGCAAAGAAAGGTAGTATGAGGGGTGATAAGACCCCCAGTCCTGAGGATGTTGATGTCCAAAAGGGCAAGCAGCTGCTGAAGTTCAGTTCACAGAGAGCACCAGGCCAAGGCCTTCGAAAGAGCTGCTCACTCTTTTCCTTTATACTCTGAAAATGAAATAACTAAAAGCAGTCTTTAAATTATGGTGGAAGAAATAAAGTAAAGCTGAACTATTGGCCATTTTTTAAAAGAAGTATTTTTCTTCCATAAGCTATTTAAAATATAATGTAAGTTATATGTAGGATTACCTAATGCTTGTTAGTTGCACCAATAAATAATAATTATTGCCTAAAATGCTGAACCAACATTTTCAGGGTCATTTCTCTATATATCAAAATGGGAAGACATACTTAGACAACCTTATACTAAGTTGATAGTTTTGGGGATTTAATGTTAGAAAACAAACCAGAAAAGTTAAGGCAAAAAAAAAAAAAAATCAGAAGATGGATAGCTGCATACTGTGACATCTGGCAACAGGAGGAAAACACTGAATATTTAAAGTAGTATGTATTTTCTGAGACTGATACTCCAACCAAGGACCATGCATGGAGATATCCTAGAACCCCTAGAACTCTTGCACAGATGTAGCCCATGGCATTTCAGTCTTCAAGTGAGTTCCCTAGTAATGGGAACAGGGGCTGTCTCTGACATGAACTCAGTAGCTGGCTCTTTGA